CCCCAAAACCCCAAAACCCCAAAACCCCAAAACCCCACAATAATTATAAAAATTGCGCAAATAAGATGGAATTCAAAATCATGAAGACACATAAAATTATTGGTCTCTTGAATAAGAGAGGCTTTACTTCTATCCAAGACAAGGCTGAGCTTGAGGATATCAACACTGATATAGCCCAGGAATTATAGCTGAGTGGATGCTTTATAGTTTTGGTCAAGATCCTAATAAATTCAAGAATCAAAATTATGATTGATCTCTAGTGACTATAATCCTCCTTCTGAAGCAATGCTTTATTGAGATAAACTGCAAGGAAATTTTTGATGTCAACGATATCTTGAACCCTAATTGGATCAGATGGAGAGAATTCATATGCTCTTTTCTACATTTTTCAAAATTTGTAGACCAAACTGATAAAAATGAGGAAGAACTTCAGACATTATAAAAGATGAGCTCCAGATGAAGAAGCAGCACTGTCTCTCGCTTCGTAAAGAGGTAGAGGCTCTTGACGAATCCAACGAAGAATTTGTTCTAGATGAGAAAGAAATATCGCTATCAGATCAACTCCCGGTCATTGAGTCACAACATAAGTCTCTTGAAAGCTCTAAAGAAAGACTAGAGGCAGAAAATGAGAGGCTTTCAGATAAAATCAGAGCATTACAGACCAAGTACTCTGATCTCAGTATGCAACTGGACCAGCTCAAGTCCCAGATCGTCAGGAGCCCAGAGAAAATAGCCAAAATGGAGCAAGAAGCTAAGGATGAGTATGAACAGATAGTTCAGAAATAATGAAGCTTTGCAAAGCAAAAGAGATGATCAAGTTACTTTGATTTATTCACTCAGGAATAAGGTCATGAATGGATATTCTCTTGGCCAACTCAAAGACTGCAAATATGAATTGCAGACTAAAAAGTCAGATCTTGAATCCAAATAAATCTGATTTAAAGCAACTGAAAACTGAGATATCTCAATTAGAAACTGAGATATCTCAATTGGAGACTGAAAAGAAGATGATTGCTATCAAGAATACTAACTTACAGAAGACCTACCAGAATTTGGTTGAGCAGAAGGATATGACAGCTGAGAGAATTAATAAGTAAGAACACGGATTGGTCACCAATTTGATAGCCAAATTTAGTAATGAGAGATCTATAGAAACCAGGAACTCGAACTTCTTTGATTCTCTAATGTTTCAGGATCTTTTATAATTTCTTGACTGGTATTGACTCTATTTCGAAGATTTTTCAAAACTAACCACTTTGCTTCTAGATTGAATAGCTCAATAGAAGAGGTTAATGAAGAAATAAGCTTAGTGCAGTTGACCACTGATACCAATGTAAAGAAGATAACCAAAGAGGGTGAAATGATTATCGATAAGACAGAAAGATGGCTTTCTGTGTTCCAGAAAGAACTTTATAACATCCATCAACTTGCTGAAGCTTCATAATATTGTCTAAGTAACACAGTTTTGGGCTAGGATTAATCTTATTGCTAAGTTCTAAATATTTTAGCGATGAATTAGCCTACAAGTTAGATGGTATAATGAATTATCGTAAACGAAAATTTATGATACAATCTCATATTTGCTTTGATTTATGAACAACCTCTTCAAGGCTCGAATCTCAGTGTCAATGCAAGCACAGTCTCAACACTGAGAGAGAACTTCGACTTGGATTACTACATTAGCTTAGCTTTTATCTTTATTTTTGGTCTACTAGTTTATAATATAAGAGGGATTTATCAGCAGCTTCTAGAAACATTCAATCTTAGATTGATATCTGGGGTTTTGGGGTTTTGGGGTTTTGGGGTTTTGGGG